AGCGCTCCCGGCTCCTGTGCTGTGCCGCCCCAGCCTCCGCAAAGCCCGGTCTGCCACCGCTCCTTGTTGTCCCGCCGCCCCAGCCGCTGTCCAACTCCTCCCCCGGTGGCTCGCACACCCTTCGGCCCGTGTACGCGCTTTGCACCTGCTGCCCGAAACCGTGCCCCAGAAGCCCGAGAGCGGGGGTCTCCGGGTCCCTTGGGCCGAGGGGAGAAGGAAGGCGGCCGTGAGGGTGAGACCCAGGCCCCGAGCCTCCTCCGACAGGAGAGTCCCAATGAGGGCCTTGGCGCCGCGAGGGAGGAGGGGGCTACGGAGCCCGCCGTCACCCTGAAAGGTGGGAGGGCTGTGGCAGCCAGAGCCATGGCTCGGCGCAGGGCCTGCCGCCGCCCGAATCGGACGGTGGCGGAATGGGTGCGGTTCCCGCTGGAGAGACAAGAAGAGGAGTCCCATCACACGCTCCGAGATGGTGAAATGCGTTATCGAGAGACTTGGAGGATCCGATCCCGGAGATCTTCGCAAGGGCCGCAGAGCATCTGCGGTATGTCTTTGGCTTCGAGCTGCAACAGTTTGACCGCAAGCACCACACTTACATCCCGGTCAACAATGTAAAACCTCTTGATGAGGAGGAGGAGGAGGATCTGGGAGGAGATGGTCCCCGGTTGGGTCTCTTAGTGGTGATCTTGGTCCTCATCTTCACGAAAGGCAATAGTGCCAGGGAGGCCCAGGTCTGGGAGATGCTGCGACGGCTGGGGGTGCGGCCCTCAAAGTATCACTTCCTCTTTGGGTACCCGAAGAGACTGAGTGTGGAAGATTTTGTAGCAGCGATATCAGTTAGAGGCGGTGTTAGAGGCGGTGCCTCACACCAATCCACTGGAGTATGAGTTATCTTGGGGTCCCCGAAGCAACCTCGAAATCAGCAACTTGAACGTCCTCGGGTTCGTGGGCAAGTTTCATAAGAAAGAACCCAGCCCTGGCCGGCGCAGCACCCTGAGGCCCTGGCAGACGAGACCCACAGGGCCAGAGCTGAGGCCAGTATAAGGACTAGGGTCGACATCCGCCGCTGATGAGGGCTCCGTGGGTATGGAAGCTCCTTTTTGGAGTCGTAAGTAGTATGAGGGGGGGCGAGGGTCGTATTTATGTAGAAATGGTGTAACTTTAGGATTTAGGTTTTGTATCTTGATACATTTTGTTACATTACTATACTGTTAAAATGCTGTTTATAAATGAGATTAGTCTACTTTTTCCTGTATGATTTTGTTGTAAAGTTTTGCTTGGTTTGTAAAGTGAATGGAAAACTTTGCATTTTATCCTGTGACTTTGAAGAAATTATGCATCATTGTCATGCTGTGCTTTAATGGTTTGAAGGAACTCAGCAGTCTGATGACCTGGTACCAGGAAAAATAATAACTGATTGGTGTCTAGCCTCCCAACACTTTTTGTCTATTGTATATAAAAGAAAAAGACTGACATGTACCTACACTTGCTTAGCTATTTTAGTATATAGAGAAAAATTAAAATACAGTAAATTTAAAGTATACCCTGGTCCACTTAATAAAGTAAACATTTGTTGAGTATCTTTTTTTGTGATGCACTATTTGGGGCATTTGGAAATAGAATGCTGAACAAGATAAAGATCTTACATTTTTCAGAATTGGAGAGTGGTAAATGATTCAGAAATAACAGCAGGGAACTGAAGGCTACACAAGGACACCTAACCCAACTGGGTTGATTGGCTTTCCTGAGGTTGCCTATAGTCAGACTTTGGGGAAGGGGAAGAAATAGAGAAAGATGTTGGAGATAGGAAGCTAGATGACTTAAGATCACAGATACTCAACAATGTGGGAAGAAGACCTGATACATAGCAAATCTGGAAAATACCCTGTGCTTGGCAGTGTTCCTGTCCCTGGCCAGTTTGTCGCAGTGCATAAAGATAGTGATTATTAGCACTTTGGCCCGTTCTAGTTCCTTCTCTCAACCTCTACAGGGTTCCCTCTTCTACCAAAATCCCCAAGACCAAATAGGGTAACAATTCTGGATTACATATAGTATATGTCTCCTGCTACCAAGAAGTTCTACCTCGAGATCTGTTCGCTGGCATCAGGAAGCCCAGTACTGTCTCTCATGTTTCTACTTGCTATTTTCCACCTGTCACCTTCCATTTGGAGGAGACCTATAAGACCTCACATTCTTACTACCCATAAAGAGTCGTCTACAAGCACCTCTGGCCTCTGCATTGCCTGCCACCTTCTGTATGAGGGTAAATCCTATAGAAAGAGAACATAAAATAACAGGGGATTTAGAGGAATGGTACCCAATTCAGAGCTGGGTATGGGTCCTCATTACCATGTCATCCTCTATAGCTGCCATAAACAAAAGAGCTGCTGGGTTTTTTTGGTTTTTTTTTTTTTTTAAGAAATAAAAGTTTGTTTAAGCCAGGCTCAGTGGCTCAGCCTGTAATCCCGTGCCTTTGGGAGGCTGAGGTGAGTGGATTGCCGGGTTCGAGACCCGC